ATATGCATTCGGCCATCTAGTGAGCATAGATATTCCCCATCCCAATTGCTAACGGGTCATGAGCCAGACGTTTCCCATCTTAAGACATTTGGGTGTTCAGTCTATGTACCCATTGCACCACCACAGAGAACTAAGATTGGACCTCAAAGGAGGATGGGAATATATGTTGGATTTGATTCTCCCACCATTATCAAATATCTTGAGCCGACCACAGGAGACCTCTTTAAGGCCAGATTTGCAGATTGCCAATTTGATGAATCGGTATATCCTATATTAGGTGGAGAGACCAACAAGCTGGTTAAAGAAATTTCATGGAATCAAACATCCTTACAATGGCAAGATCCTCGGACTCTAGAATATGAATCAGAGGTCCATAAGATTATACATTCACAAAAGCTAGCTAATCAATTGCCAGATTCCTTTGATGACCCGAATAGAGTAACCAAATCGTACATACCAGCTTGTAATGCACCAATACGAATAGATGTCCAAAAGGGACAAACTCAAGTTGCTACAGAATCTGCAGCACGTAACAAACGTGGCAGACCATTAGGTTCCAAAGATAAGAATCCCCGGAAACCAAAGAAAGGTGCAACGGTTGAAAGCGGGATTCCTCAAATAGCAGATATAGCCGCGGCTAAGATTAACCCTAGTGAACCGGTCCAAGAGGTTTGGGACGCCAAATCTCAAGGTTCCGAAGGGATTAATAACAATGAGATCTCAATCAATTATATCATGTCTGGAATACAATGGAACCGAAAAGATGTCGACATCGATGAAATATTTGCATATAAGGTAGCACTTGAAATGAATGAGGATAATGAACCCACGTCTATATTAGAGTGCACTCAAAGATCAGATTGGCTAAAATGGAAAGAAGCCATAAACGTGGAGTTGAATTCATTAAAGAAAAGGAATGTGTTTGGTCCGATCTTAAAGACACCATTAAATATTAAACCAGTGGGCCACAAATGGGTCTTTGTGCGTAAGAGAAATGCACTCGGTGAAGTTGTTAGATACAAAGCACGGCTTGTAGCACAAGGATTCTCACAAAGACCTGGAATCGATTATGAAGAGACTTATTCTCCTGTGGTGGATGCAACAACATTTCGATTCCTGATAAGTCTGGCCATAAAAGAAAATTTAGATTTGCGGTTAATGGATGTTGTAACCGCCTATCTTTATGGACCACTGGATAATGAGATTTATATGAGATTACCAGATGGTATTGAACTTAAGGATAAGAGAGAATCTCGAGATCAGCACTGCATTAGGCTGAACAAATCCTTATATGGACTGAAACAAAGCGGACGTATGTGGTATAACCGGTTAAGCGAATATCTCATCCGAGAAGGCTATAAAAACGATACGATCTGTCCATGTATTTTTATCAAGAAGTTTGCAAACAAAGGATTTGTGATCATATATAGCAGTATACGTGGATGATTTAAACATCCTCGGAACATCTGGTGAAATCGCCCAAACAGTAGAATGCTTAAAAGCCGAATTTGAAATGAAAGACCTAGGCAAAACTAAATTCTGTTTGGGGCTACAACATGAGTATGTGAATGATGGAATCCTTGTGCACCAATCGGCATATATTGGAAAAGTACTCAAGAGATTCAATATGGACCAGACCCACCCATTGACCAGCCCAATGGTTGTGAGAAGCCTCGGATTGGACAGTGATCCATTCGGTCCAAAGAAGGACGATGAACAAGTTCTCGGTCTTGAAATGCCATACCTCAGTGCCATAGGAGCATTAATGTACTTGGCTAGTCACACTAGACCAGACATATGTTTTGCCGTGAGTCTCCTAGCTCGTTTTAGTTCATGTCCAACTAAAAGGCACTGGAACGGTGTCAAACACGTTCTAAGATACTTACAAGGAACTAAGGACTTAGGATTGTTTTACACTAACCACAACAAGGATGGGTTAGTTGGTTTTGCTGATGCAGGATATCTATCGGATCCGCACTGTGGTAGGTCACAGACTGGTTATGTTTTCACGCATGGAGGGACAACTATCTCGTGGAGATCTATGAAGCAGACAATCGCTGCAACCTCATCTAACCATGCGGAAATTTTAGCCATTCACGAAGCCAGTAGAGAGTGTGTTTGGTTGCGGTCCATGACTCAGCACATCCGATCAGATTGTGGTATGAAAGAAGATAAGGAGCCCACGGTTATGTTTGAAGATAACGCGGCTTGCATTGCCCAACTAAAGGATGGCTATATCAAAGGGGATCGAACGAAGCATATTCTGCCCAAGTTCTTCTTCACTCATTAATTACAGAAGGACGGTCAGGTCAAAGTTCAACAGATCCGGTCAAGTGAGAATTCAGCTGACCTATTCACTAAATCATTGCCGACTTCAACGTTCCGGAAGCTCATTCATCAGATCGGGATGCGCAGACTTAAGGATCTACAGTGATGCTCAAATCAGGGGGAGTAATGCGTGTTGTACTCTTTTTCCTTCACCATGGTTTTGTCCCACTGGGTTTTCCTGGTAAGGTCTTAATGAGGCAACATTCCCCAGCGCATTATAGAGATCCCGGTTTAGTATAGGGCACGGTTATGTCTTCCAAGGGGGAGTGTTATAAACCATATGGATGGACTCCATAACCGGCTCATGGCCCATTAGGGTTTTACCTTATTCTCTGTATCCCTCTATTACTCTTGTATATATATATATCTCTTATTCAATTAATGAGATGATCAGTTCACAACAATTACCATTTACTATAACCGTTTGTTCATTTCTTCATCTACATAAGTTCTTCTTTGTTCTTCATTTTAGTCATTTTTCCTTTCCTTTTTGTTCACTTTCCATTTGTTTTCTTTTCCAATTCTTATTTTTGTTTTTATCGTCACTAATGGGAACCTAAGAATTAAACTCCATGCATTTGGTTAATCGTACCTTAGTTATGTTATTATTTTTACTTTCTTTAGAGCACTTTATTAAGGATCAATCACATATGACTAGATTAATACCCACGTGTAGCGTGGATTTGTTTTAAAAATTATTAAGAACAAATTATGTTGATTGTTCTTATTGTTAATTTTTGTTTACTTTTTTTATTTCTTATTGTATAGTTAATAAAATTAAATTTATCTTATGTAGTTACAATTTTTATGATTAGATTTATTTTTGACTTGAAATATCGATTTATACATTTTCATGTATAAATCTGATTATTTATATTTCTAAGATTCTAATATTTTTTCACCATCATGAATACATACAACAAGAATATAATATATTTTTATACAATTATATGTAATTTATTTGTGTGATGTGAAATTCCTAACTTGATTATAAATACAATTTCTTGTTTTGTGTACTCTTCTAATCTAGTACTCCAACCACATTGTGATAAACTCATTATTAGATACTCGATAGACATAAATTAAACAAGATTTTAAGAGTTTTCAAATGAAAATAAGAAAAAGAAAGTAAAAACTAAAATGTCGTTTAAGTCAACACTTTTAGATCTTCTACCATTGCATATAGCCATATAAGAGAAAAGTCGTGTCTTGAATTCTTTGGTATGTCTAACGTCTTAGAGGTCCATCATTTAAAAAAACTTGCATGTCAATGTTATCAACTTACCATAAGACACAAAAATAAAAAGAGAGATAGTCATATGATAAATCATATATGAACAACATTCAGTGTCGGTCCGGCATATATGAGTGCCCTACGCAATTCCTAAAAAACATGCCTTGTTCATATCACACTTCTAGTGGTGACATTTTTCTACGAATTGAAACAAGCAAAAGAAAAACAAAATTAAACACATAACCAGCAAAAGCTATGAACTAAAACTGTGAAACAATTACAAAAAAAAAACAGAGAAGTCAAAAAGAAAATTAAAAAACTAAAGAAAACTAAGAAAAATATTATAAAGTAACTTTAACAAGTGTAGGGTTGTTTTTTTTTTTTTCTTTTCTCTAGAGTTTATAATTTCTTTTACTTAAGCCTTTAGTTGTTTTACTTGTATATGAAAAAGCCCACAATATTTATCTAAAAAGGCCCTACACAAAAATCCATAGTATAAACATATATGAAAAAACTTAAAAAAAATTTATCTGAAAAGGCCCTCAAAATTTGAGGCCCGAATCAGTGGCTTCACTTGCCTGTCCTATGGGCTGGGCCTGACAACATTGCATATAGCCAGGAAAGTCGTATCTTAAATTATTTAGTATGTCTAACGTCTCAAATGCTCATCACTTGAAAAAATTTACATGTCAATGTTACCAACTTACTACAAGACACAAAAATAAAAAGAGAAAAAGTCATATGATAAGTCATATATGAACACAGTGGAAGCCCCCTTATCCCATTGGTTGACTAAGGGTTAATTAATGCTTCTACACCAAGAAGTGTGGGGTTCGAGTCCTAGATACTGCGATTTATTTACCAATTTGCAGATTAATGGAGGCAAGTGTGTAGGAGATCTCCAGCGATGTACAATTATAGCCGTTCGCCAAGATTCTACGCAGAGATGGAAGTGTCGTCAGGTCGTAGATCATTGAAGGTGTCCATCAAAAGCATGAAGAAGGAAGTGTCGTATGCGTGGATCTAATAAGAGTCGGAAGGAATTGTCCGTTGTAGAATCGTCTATGTAACAGTTCTCATAATTTGCAATAAATAATAAATCTAGACGTCAAAAAATAAAAGTCATATACGAACAACAAAACGTAATAATGAGAAATACTCAAGGTAAAATTATTAAATTAATAAGAGTTTAGGTAGCAAACAACTAAATTACAACAAAAAATAAAGTTTCAGTCATTATCGAGCGGTGATTAATCAATATTGATAAACTTTTTTTAGTAAAATAAGAGTATAATGATAAGAGTTGGGATTATTTATAGGTGAAAGATGATAAGCAAGTCTTTTTTTTTCCATCAAGTCTAAATCTGACCATAGTTGAATAGATCTTACCATGGTTTGATTTTAATATTCAATTGAAATTAGTTGGTGACCCGGTGAGTAGTAAGCATTTGGTATAAGCTTATCGACGTTGACCGATCAAAACTCTCCGATGGCGATTATCACCACCAAGGCTGCTTCCAAGGACAACCTACTCTCTGACTGGCAGCCTCAAGTGTTCCTCAGTTTCCGGGGGGCTGATCTTCGCTACGGCTTCATAGACCATTTGAAGAAGGCCTTCATGGCGAATAATATCAGGTACTATATCGACGAAATAGAGCCCCGGGGCGAAAATCTTGGGATCCTTTTCCAGAGGATCAGGGAATCGAGAATCGCACTGGTGTTCTTCTCGAATCGGTACCCAGAGTCAGAGTGGTGCTTGGACGAGCTGGTTGAAATAATGAAGAACATGGAGAACGATACACTCAGAGTCATACCCATCTTCTTCAAAGTGAAGCCTGAGGACGTGAGAGGGCAAAAGAAAGAGTTCGGTGTTGCGTTATATGGAGAAGGTCGCCGTAGGAGACCCAGAATGCCGCAATGGGAAGACGCTTTAGAGGCTATTCCCTCAAACATGGGTTTGGTATTCCAGGAACAAAGGTCACGTCTCAGGACTCAGTTTTTGTTTGATCATCTCACTATTTCCTAATCCAAGAGTTCCATTGATTTTTTTTTATTCCTCATTTGTATTTCAGTTCCGAAGCTGATTTCCTCGCCAAGCTCATCGAGCGTGTCAAGGAAGTGGAAGCTATACTTATATCAGAATACAGAGGAAGAGAAGGGTCCTCTTCCTCTGTACCTATCAGACCCCTTACATGTATAGCATCTCTTCCCCCTTACGAGCAACGACTTGAGCAATTGGAAGAGAGGTTTGGTTTTGATCCTGCCGTTACTCAAATTTTTGGAATTGTTGGAATGACCGGGATTGGTAAAACCATTCTCGCACAAAAGCATTTCGATAAGTGGAAAAAGAGGTTAGCTATAGACAAGATGCTTCTCGGTATTCATGAGAGGTCGAAGAATGAGGAAGGGTCGGATTGGGTGATTAAAGATGATGATAAAATCTTCAAAAGAAAAAGTTTCATCTTTCTGGATGATGTGAGCGAGAAGACACAAATACAGTCTCTACTCGATAATCTCCACCGGGTAAAGAAGGGAAGCAAGATTGTGATTACAACGCGCGACAAGTCATGGATCGGAGAAGTGGTCCACGATACTTACGTGGTCCCCGGATTGAACGAAAAGGAAGCATTACAACTCTTTCACTACCATGCCTTCCACAACCAAGACTACACTCCCACGCAGAACATCACTAAGCTGTCCAAAAAGTTTGTGGATTATGCTGGAGGCAATCCACTAGCCCTGGTGGAGTTAGGGAAGGAGCTTTGTGGTAAAAACGAGACTCTTTGGGAAACAAGAATAGAAACACTGCCGCATTGTTGCAACGAGAATATCAAAAGAGAGTTAAAAATCAGTTATGACAAACTGACTGATCAACAAAAAGATGCGTTTCTTGACATTGCTTGTTTTTTTAGATCAGAAGATGAGGATTGTTTAAAAAATTTACTAGCTTCCGAAGTGTCGCATGAGTCTGATGAAGCTGCAGGGGTTATTGGAGATCTCGCCCACAAGTTCATGATAAGTGTCTCTGCTGGACAAATCGAGATGCCTGATATACTGTGTTCATTGGGCAAAGAACTTGGTTTATTTGCATCTGCAGACAATCTGAGAAAGAGCAGGCTGTGGGATCATAATGCAGTATCTAAAGCTTTGGCCGGTAAAGAGGTAAGAATCATCAATTTATGCTTTCATGACATCATTATAGAATAAATCAAAGGCTTCTTAGATGGAAAGTAAAAGACATTGATCACCCACATCAATTAACATTCTAGTGATTCCATATTTTTCCACCAAAAACACAGAGCTCGTATTTTGATATCACCCGAGAAACAATTTTGGAAAGGACTAGAAAAATATAAATCAAAACTGCTAAACCTAAGTTTTTTACCAAATAAATCTTAATCCTATTCACTGATTCTTGTTCTTCTCTGATATAAAAGATTGCGTGATGTTGATGACAAGTCTTTCCTAGTTAATTTCACATTCTGCTATGTACTTTCCTAACTTATTGTGTGTTTTAACATGTTAACAGGAAAACGAAGATATTACTGTGAGAGGTATCCTACTCGACGTGTCGAAACTAAAAGAAGAAATAGCCATAGCCACAAACAAGTTGACCTTGATGCCGAACCTGCGATATCTCAAAATCTTTGACTCTAGCTGTCCTCGGCAATGTAAAGTTGTTGAAGCTGTTGAATGCAAAGTATACGTGCCCGATGAACTTGAATTGTGTTTGAAAAATATTCGATATTTCCACTGGCTGAAATTTCCATCGATGGAACTTCCACCAGACTTCAACCCGGAGAATCTTGTTGATCTCAGGCTGCCATACAGTAAGATTGAACGAGTTTGGGATGATGTGAAGGTGTGTCCTCTTCTTGATCACTGCTTATTTTGAATATATGGCTAAAGTAACCTATTAAGTGTAGCTGATTGGTGGTTGTTTTCTGAGTGCTTGTCATCACAGGATACACCAAATTTGAAGTGGGTTGATTTAAGTCACTCGACAAAGTTGATCGACCTGTCAGCTTTGTGGAAAGCTGAATCTCTTGAAAGATTAAATCTTGAAGGTTGCACTAATCTTGAACTATTTCCAAAAGATGAAGGAAATATGAAGAGTCTTGCTTTCTTGAATCTCAGAGGATGCACAAGTCTCTCGTTTCTTCCAGAGATGGAGAATTTTGACTGTCTTAAGACTCTCATCCTCAGTGGCTGCACAAGCTTTGAAGACTTTCAGGTGAAATCTAAAAATCTTGAATATCTACATTTAGATGGCACCGAAATCACGGACCTTCCCCAGACGATCGTGGAGCTCCAAAGACTTATCGTATTGAATCTAAAAGACTGCAAAATGCTGGATACTCTTCCAGATTGTCTCGGCAAGCTGAAGGCTCTTGAAGAACTAATACTCTCTGGCTGTTCAAGGCTTAGGAGTTTCCCTGAAATTAAGGATAACATGGAAAATCTTCAGATTTTATTGCTAGATGGGACGAAAATAAGGGACTTGCCAAAGATATTATTACGCTGTGCTAACTCGGTAGACCAAATGAATCTCCAACGGTCACCCAGTATGAGTGGCCTATCCTTGTTGCGACGGCTATGCTTAAGCAGAAATGAAATGATCATCAGCCTGCAATCTAGTATTAGTGATCTCTATCATTTGAAATGGATCGACTTGAAGTATTGCACGAAACTGCAATCTATTTCGATGTTACCACCAAATCTTCAATGCTTAGATGCGCATGATTGTACCTCACTTAAAACAGTAGCGAGTCCGCTAGCACGTCCTTTGGCAACAGAGCAAGTGCCCTCCTCATTCATTTTCACTAACTGTCAAAAACTAGAGCACGCCGCAAAGAATGAAATCACATGCTATGGTCACAATAAGGGCCGGCTCCTGTCAAAAACATTGAATCGACACAATAAGGTATTTCTTTTTGCTAGAGTTTTACTCCTTATTTTTTATAACCAAAATATTCTGGGACTTGGTCCATAGTTTCTCAAGGTTTGGGAGGTCCAGTCAATCTTGCAAGTCTAAAGTTTAAAATTCTGCTAAGTCTATTCGGTCTACTTTTCAGGGTCTTTGTTTTGAAGCTTTGGTTGCCACTTGCTTTCCTGGAAGTGAAGTTCCGGATTGGTTTGGTCATAAATCTTCTGGAGCAGTTTTGGAGCCTGAGCTGCCTCGACATTGGAGTGAAAATGGTTTTGTTGGGATAGCTCTATGCGCTATTGTCTCGTTTGAAGAACAAAAAATTCGGAACAACAACCTCCAAGTGAAATGCATATGTGACTTCAATAATGTAAGGACATCCTCTAGCTACTTTAATTCTCCCGTTGGAGGTTTATCCGAGACAGGGAATGAGCATCGCACGATCAAATCTACTCATGTGTTCATTGGCTACACCAATTGGTTGAATATCAAGAAATGTCAAGAAGATGATGGTAAGAAGGGTTGTTTTCCTACTAAGGCTTCAATTAAATTTCAAGTGACAGATGATATTGGTGAGGTTAAGAATTGTGAGGTATTGAAGTGCGGTTTTAGTTTAGTTTATGAAACTGGTTCTTGGGAAGCAAACACAAGGAGAGATGATGTTGAACAAGGTGAAGTTGAGTCTCTTGAGAAGAAGAAGGTTTCTAAAATTATGATGCCAAAACTGTGGTGCAACTACAATGCGGGATCATAAAGTCAATGGTGAGGAAAGCTGTAGCTCCACAATGAGCTAGATAGATTCGTTTCTATCTATTTTTCTTCTTGTAGCAAAACTTTGAAAGGCGATTGTTAATGTCACTCATTGGACAACAGTTTGTTTCTTGTTTCCCCAATAAGAAAAACATGAACGTCTTAAACAACTGAATATAAAAATATTTATATTTTATTGATTTGTATATTAAATTGTTTGAAAATATTATACTTATTAAGTTATTATTTAAGAAAATAATTTAAAATTACTATCAATATACCAACATCGAAAACAAAACAAAAAATATTATGATTGCCATCTTTTCAATGACAAGCGGACAATTTTGTTATGTCGTTGATTGATGCCTTCTTTTGTCAGTTTATGCTGCATTGTTTAACGTCTTTTTTTTTTTTTTTTTTTTTTTTTTTTTTTGGGGAAAAGGTTAAATTTTATATCATTTTTTATTTTTGACAGAAATTACAGGGAACACTAGGAACGGAAAAAAGCAGCCTACAGAATAAAAACAACATTACTACTCAAATTGCTTCGGATTACTAAAAAGCGCATAAGGCCAAATCACGAGGAGAAACACCGATTCCGAGCCCGCGAAGCTCAGAAATTTGCGTGGTTGCCACAGGACCGAAGAACTGGAATCCTCATCGTAGTTGCCACGAGCATATCTATCCGAAGCCCGTCCTCAAAACCTTGAGATAGAAGCCTACAGCTTCTCCGAGAACTAACGCAAAAACGCATAGGCAACCATGGACTTATACACTAACTCAATGAGATAGCGTCGCCACTTAGACCTATTCGCCGCCTCTATTCAACCCTCGGCAAACCTAGCCAATGCACCCAAAAGCTCACCTACACAAAAAGAACCGACACCGACAACACCAAGAACAACAAAACTCCACCTTAGAGCAACCGAAGACGAGGCGAAGGGACGAAGAAAAATGGTCACGGGAAAACCATAACCATGGCTGAGGAAGCTGCCACCCTCTACAGCCCACCAATGGAGGAGAGATGTTGACCACCACCAACAACAAACCACAACATCTCTAACCGCAACGAACAAACCAGAGCGCCAACAAAGACCCCGAGGTTTACCTCCAAAAGAGACGCCCGTCGGATCCTAACACATCACCACCGGAGCTGGACAAAAAATAAGGTAGAGAGACCGAGAAGAGAGGAACCGTCACACCAAAGGCTCGTCGAAGAGTCCATGCCACAAGAGGAACACGGCGACATGTGGAGAAACACGGCGATGCACCACCGGAATCTCAGATCTGAAGAAATATCCCGCCGCTAGGAACAACACCGCAGCTACAAACGCTTCACCGAAGCTGCGGTGTTGTTTAACGTCTTCTTTTTACGGTTGATTATATTTGACCAATAGTTGGGCATTTCTTCAATGGTAAGAGATATGAGTTACATTCTATGTAAATCCGGCTCAAACATTGGTTAGACCCAGTACTACTATGTAAAAAATCTCTAAATATATTAAGAAAAAAAACCTAAACATGTAAAAAAAAATTTTGGGCCATTTTAGAGTCTAAAGTTTGGACCTGTGCCCCATCACCTCTAACACGTCTTAAGCCGGCACTGATTCTATGTAAAATTTAAGCTCAACCTCTTATAATCGTTGTGGATTTAAAGTGCGCTAAATTCAAGGAGAAAATGTTGAGGTTGCGACGTGAAGTTGACATTTGTAAAAAAAAAATCATCGCTAATTGTCAATGAGGAGATTGAAACCGTAGTGACACCAAATGCTAATAGCACAACTGGTAAAATATCTCACGTAAAGCTTAGATGTTGCTGGTTCGAATGACACTTGGGAGGAACCATATAAACAACCTTGCTTGGGTTCTTGTACGATCATGTGCTCTTTCACCTTTCGCTTTCTCCTTTTTATTCCTTCACTCTGTTTTGTCACCGTGGCTTTTTGATTCAGATGCATTTCATCGACTGTTCTTTTTAACTGTTCTTGTTTTGTATTTTGGTAGTAATCGATTAAAATCTCATTTAGCATTTGCATTGTTTTGCTCCCCTGGCTTATGTGTTGTGTTTGTTACTTTTCTATAGCTGATATCAGTAACTCAGCAAGCTCAATTCTAACTATGCACTGTTGGTATGCATATATGTTTTGGGAAGGTGGTTTTGATCTTTCTTTTGTCTTTCTTCGGATGATAGAGTATTTTTAAAGAGTTCATGGTTATTGTCTTAAGTAGTTAAATACTCATTAAGTAAGAACAAATGATGATAAACCAAATCTCACTGAATCTTATGGTGTAAGAGTTTGTGGTTGATCTAATCATTGTTACATTTCTACTCTCGTGTTCTCAGGATTTGGTCCAGCTTCTAGGCTCTTTTAAGAGCCATTGGGGTCAAATTGCATTGGTTGAAGGTGACTTTAGAGATGGCAGAAAGGAGAAGCAGCAACGGAGGAGAAGTTGTTATCAATGCTTCAGATAAAGAAGATGCATCAGCATCTCCTTCTTCCAAAGTTGCCGCTTCAACAGATACCAGATTGCATAAATAATAAAATACAGCACAAGAATCTGCAGCTGTTTTCTTATGTATGTGTTTAGTTGATGTATTACCACAACCCAAATGCCCTCATGTATGTGTATTCATGAAGAAGAATCTAACCCTTCCTAGAGAGAATACCAAGAATATATTGACCAATTTATTGAGGAAACTATACCAGATTTCATCTACTGACCCGAATGTGGCAGCGAGTCATATCTCAGATTTCGGTAAATTCAACTCTTCAGCAAATTCTCTAGTCATCTTCAAGAAACCTTCCATGTGAAGTTGCTTCCATTCCTTCTCAAAATACAAAAGAAACCCAATTCAAACATGTAATGATCCAGAGACAAAGAGCCTAATAGAACAAGTTACGGTAGCTAACCTCGAAATCCCATGTACCGTAAAGGTCAGGATCATCTTTCTTGGCCCAAACGTAGGTTTTCGTTTGCAGTTTCTCGTCTGAGCTATCCTGTGAATTGAAGGAAGAAACATATATTTTCAATATCTCTGAATTCAAATCAAAAATAGAGAACAAATGTGTTGTTGTTCAAGAACAACAACAACACACTTTTTTCTTCTCTATAGAAATGAATGAAGAACGATCTAAAATTGACTCACTGTTAACAAAACTTGAACATTCTCTCTTTCATACTCAATATCTTCAAACTCATCTAAAACATTAAGTTCATGATCTGTGATTCCAAATAACACCTGCACAACAACCAAATAAAAATTTCCCCAATCCCTAAAGGCATGAGCACGATTCTGATTCGGATCCTGACCTTGCCAGAGACTTTATCGGATTTAGCTGGTAGAATCGCGGGATAAACACGACCTTTGATGCTGAATCTATGGCTGCGAAAATCTCAAAATCCACAATCAATTTTTTTCAATTTCAACAGCCAAAATCGATCTCACAGAGAGAGATGGGATCGTACAAATCAGGGAGGGTTGCGGAGGCGGTTAGAGGGATACGGTTGAGGAGGAGACGAACGACGTCGTCCGCCATGAGACTACCGTAGACGAAGACACTGTGCATTGCCACTGTACCACTCATCTTCTTCCTCTTGACTTGTGCGAGTTTTCGATTATGAAATGTGAGTGAGACTAAAAAGTAAAAACAGAATCTTCTTGTTCTTGAGATTCGACAAATTCGCAATTAAAAAAAATAATAAAAAGAAATCGACTCTGCTGGGGATCGAACCCAGAATCTCTGGTTTCGTAGACCAGCGCCTTATCCATTGGGCCACAGAGTCATTCTTGTCTACCATCAGTTCGAACAATATATAATCAATCAACTTCTGGAAGACGTTGTGAATAACAAAGGTTTCTCAATTAAAGAACACTTTGAACTAGTAGAATTCATAGTGAAACATTTCTTGATGTCTTCGCGAACGAATATGGATGAGCTTGAGAAAATGCCTATTGACAATGCTTGGTCTAGAGTTTTGATATCAGGGTATATAAACATCTTCATGAGATATAACAAATGAAGCATTTTCTCTATGTTAAATGTGTGGTTGTTTCGTGTTTCATGTTTAAAACATGATTTAAGTAAGGCATAACAAATAAAGAGTTAATCATGAATGTTTTCTTCTTGCGAAAGTCTTTATTATGTGTTCATCACAGTGGCATAAACGTGTTCCCAAAATGATGTTTCCAAAACGTTGCCATTCTCTAATTTTAGAAAAAAATCGTTTCCCGTTTCCGAAACGTTTCGCTTCCGCGTTTCCGTTTTTATGCAACATACTGAATATTTATTATGAATAGTACTACTAGATCTCACAAAAATCTGATCAAACTTTATCCATGCTGACTCGGTTTTCACATTGCACAAGGTAAAAAAATAAACTTGTATAAATGAAAAAGAAGAAAATTCAAGGTTTGAGATGAGAACAAAATAAAAGATATTGACTTCGACTCTCTCCTTAGTAATATTAGAAAGGTTTGGAATGTATTTTTGATATTCTTTTTAATGGTGAATTGTCTTGTAACAACGTTATCTTCTTAATTGTCTATGTGGAAACTAACTTTTACTTTGGATAAAAACTGTGTTCTTTTTCATTTTATATAATTTACTTTTTTTGTAAGTTTGGACACATCTTATATGTTAGTATGTTACTTGCGTGGAAATTAATCTAGACACAAATTGGTTTTGTAAATTGTCGAAGAAAATTTCAGTTAATAGGAAAGAGAAGTCAAGAGGTCAAAGAAACAAGAGGCGGAGAAGAAGGAGAAGCGTTCGTAGAGAGAGATACAAAACAAGAGACAATGTATTTTTATAGAAACTCTCTTTTCTCTTCATCCACTTATTTCGCTATCTTTACAAAATAACAAAATGAAAAATAGAGAAACCATCTTTGAACCTCGAAACACGTCTCTCTCTCTTTCGATTTCTTCTTCTCAAGTTTCTTTATTGGCCTGAATCTTGAATCCTGAAGGAGAGAAACCGAAAGAGAGAAGAAGATGTGGATGCCGAAAAACAATAACGTGGGAGTCAAGGAAGGAGGATCGAGCGGAATTGTAGCTGTTGCAATAGACAAAGACAAAAGCAGCCAACACGCTCTTAAATGGGCTGTTGATCATTTGTTGCAGCGAGGCCAATCCGTCATTCTCGTCCACGTCAAGCTTCGACCTTCTCCATTGAATAATAGCCCTTCTCTTCATGCTTCTTCTGCAAGTAAACAAACCCTATCATTCTTCTATATCATTTTTTTTTTCTTCTCTGTTGTCTTTTGTTTTACTTGTTTCTGATTGTTTTGTGTTTTTGTTTCAGAGCTGAGCCAAGATTCTTCATTGGTATGCAGAGATCCAGAAGGCATTTCCAAGGAGTTATTCCTTCCTTTTCGTTGCTTCTGCACCCGCAAAGATGTTAGTATTCTTGATTTAGATTCCTTCTTTGTTTGTCTCTCTTGTATTCTTATGGTGTTTTGGAATGAAACTGTCTAGATTCAATGCCAAGATGTGTTGCTTGAGGAGTCCGATGTTGCCAAAGCGTTGGTCGAATACGTAAACCAAGCCGCCATTGAGGTTTTAGTAGTTGGTTCCTCTAGCAAAGGTGGTTTTCTCAGGTACAAAAATAATCACTTCCTTGCCTTCTTTGTCTCTCTGGCTGAACCTTGATTCTCAATTAATGGTGGATTACTAAATTTTGCAGGTTCAACAAGCCTACAGATATTCCAGGCAACATAACAAAAAACGCGCCTGATTTCTGCACGGTTTATATCATTTCCAAAGGAAAGATTCAAACAATGAGATCAGCTTCTCGTTCTGCACCCATGACTGCTCCTCTACGCAGTCCGGTTCAACCACCTAGCTTAAAGCCTCCTCAACCTATGCCTTCTACTTTCGCTAACAGTATGCGAGGTTGTTAAAAAAAAAACTCAGAACTTCTCTGCTTTTCCGCTTCTTTCGCTTGTCAATTTCACCTTAAAACTTGATTTTCCATCTTATTTATTACAGCTGAGAGACGGTCTTTTGAGTCTAACCAACGAAGGTCTGTCGAAGATCAACAACGTAGGTCTATGGAGGATCAACAACGGAGGTCAATGGAGGATCAATCAGAGTCCTTCAGGTAAAAACCACTCTTGTATATGTTTTCATTTAGACATGATCTTGAAACTAAAATCTCCTTGGATGAAACACAGATCTCCTTTTACAAGAAGAGGCAATGGGAAATCATACGGTGATCTGTCTGTTCCGGAATCAGACATATCTTTTATTAGTTCTGGAAGACCAAGCATTGACCGTATCTTCCCTTCTCTATATGACAACAATGATCCAACCAGAACTCCTCCTAGGCTGTCAAATTTCTCAGACATGGACTATAGTTCTAACCTTGATCAGTCTTCCAACTATGGAAGGAGATCAGTGGATTTGAACTCACCTACTGATTTCTCAACAGGCTCGCTCGAGAGCGAAAGATTTTCATCCGCCTCTCAATCAATAGTAAGACCGATAAAATATCATCGTGTTCGGTCTATAATTAACTAGTGTTATTGACATTTTGACAATTATCAAAATCAGGATGATGTAGAGGCTGAGATGAGGAGGCTTAAACTGGAGTTGAAGCAGACTATGGAAATGTACAGTACAGCTTGCAAAGAAGCACTCACAGCAAAACAAAAGGTAGAGTTTCTATGAAACAAGTGTTTATGGTTTTCGAAATCTAAAAAATGTTTTGGTAATTGTAGGCGACGGAGCTTCAGCGTTGGAAGTTAGAAGAAGAGAGGAAACTAGAAGAGGCAAGACATGCAGAGGAAGCAGCATTAGCCATCGCAGAGAAAGAGAAAGCAAAGTCGAAAGCGGCTATGGAGGCAGCTGAAGCAGCTCAAAGAATTGCTGAATTAGAGGCTAAGAAGAGAGTCAACGCGGAAATGAAAGCTCTAAAGGAGTCTGAGGAGAAAACAAAGGCTCTTACTGCTTTAGCAAACTCAGATGTCAGGTATAGGAAGTACTCCATTGAAGAGATTGAGCTTGCAACCGAGTTTTTCGCTGAGAAATATAAGATTGGAGAAGGTGGTTATGGACCTGTCTACAAATGTTATCTTGATCATACACCAGTGGCTGTTAAAGTTCTTCGTCCTGATGCAGCTCAAGGAAGATCTCAGTTCCAACAAGAGGTGATGACTTCTTGTAATAAACTCACATCACTTTCTCCTTATTCCTCTGTTTCTTTCTCATTTGAGATTTTGTTTGAAACATAGGTTGAGGTATTGAGCTGCATTAGGCATCCTAACATGGTTCTACTTCTTGGGGCATGCCCGGAATGTGGATGTTTAGTCTACGAGTTCATGGCCAACGGAAGCTTAGAAGATCGTCTTTTCAGATTAGGAAACAGCCCACCTCTCTCGTGGCAGATGAGGTTCAGAATTGCTGCTGAGATTGGCACTGGACTGTTGTTCTTGCACCAGGCTAAACCTGAGCCTCTAGTTCACCGTGATCTCAAACCAGGAAACATCTTGCTAGACCGTAACTTCGTCAGCAAGATTTCTGATGTTGGTTTAGCCAGGCTAGTCCCTCCATCGGTTGCAGACACGGTGACACAGTACCGAATGACTTCAACCGCGGGCACGTTCTGTTACATCGATCCAGAGTATCAGCAAACAGGAATGTTGGGTGTGAAATCCGACATTTACTCACTCGGCATTATGTTTCTGCAGTTGATAACAGCAAAACCACCAATGGGGCTAACCCATTATGTCGAGAGAGCACTCGAGAAAGGAACTTTGGCTGATTTACTTGATCCAGCTGTTTCTGATTGGCCAATGGAAGACACAGAAGAGTTTGCTAAATTAGCTCTTAAATGTGCAGAGCTAAGGAGAAAAGACAGACCTGATCTTGCTAAAGTCATATTGCCTGAGCTAAACAGATTAAGAACACTTGCTGACGAATCATCACATTCTGTAGTAGTCAGCAATAGCCTTGTACCATCTCCAACTGGTAGCCAAAGTTCTTTGAAACTGGTGAGAACCGATAATAGCTAAAATCCGAAACTCGAATCTATTACTATACTCATCTACTGATTTCTTCTTCACTAAAATTTTGCAGGAACATATGAGTGGTGCTTCTATCTCAGTGCCTCAGTAAGTTTGGTTTCCAAGGAAAAACTGATCTACACACAAGAAGAGGCAATTGCATGATTCAGATATTACTTACATAGACAACAACCATGAATCCTCAATTTGCATGCTCGTAGTATAAGGAGATGCAATAGAGTGTCTTTCCCTTGTGGAGAAAGTGTTAAAATTGTACAGATCTTGCTTATGAATGTAACTTAATATGTAGTTCAGTATGGAGGAACTGATCCTTTATTACATGCTGCTAAGGTTAACAAAACATGTCAAAGATAATGCAGTCCTTAGATCGAGGTATAGCAACAAACATGACAAAGACCATAAACTTAGGTATCACCATTTCACTAAAACAAAGTGTTGCAATTTTTTAAAAATGTGTAATATATATCATAAGGTTATTTCAGTGATGGGTAAAACATACTTCGGCTTAGCAATAACCCAATACCGTAACATTTGAGAAACTCTCGAAAGAAACCGAATTACCTAGCAAGTTCAATGCAGAAAATAATACGGAAAAACACTTTGATTATACTTGA